TCGGGGGAGTTTATAAACAACCCCAGTGTAATTGGCAAAGTAATCGTAATGTATTTGTAGTCGAATGATGTACACTAATGAAAGAGAGTGTGTGCTTTATCAATGTTATTAGGTTAATTGCATTAGTTACGTATGTTGTTAATATTATTTTGAAATTTAACCAAAAACTGTTTGTGAAAAATGTTGAAAAATATTTTCACAAATTTCGACCCCTTCGTTTCGTGGTTATTTTTTAACTTATCGAAAAGGTGAAAAAAAAATGTGTTTTGTAGAGTTTTTTACGTAGAATCCAGTGGTGATCCACTAGTTTTTCGCTGGAAGCTCTCATGTTCAAAATATGATTTAAACTTATGTTTTTCTTAATGGAACACCTTATATGATGTATTTCTATTTAATTTGCTTTACTTATTTAACAATCTAGTTTAAAAGAGTTATAATTATGTTATTTAATTTAATTTAATTAGATAATTTAGTTTTCTATGGTGTAATAAACTACAGTAAAAATGAATTTGTATAGCTATTTTCTGATAATATGATATATAATAATAATTCTGATAATATATATAACTGATAATATTTTTGATGACCTTGTGCAATAATTTCACATACAGAAACTAGCATGGAATAGCCAATATCCAAAATTCAATGCCGAATAAATTATTCGATTGTTTTGATAACCTAATTTAAACTAACGCTCTTTTTACCTTGTTTATGAAAATAGAATTATGAAAATAGAATATGATATATGATACGCTCAATAGTCGATTTCGGGCAATGCCCGAGAAAAATACGCACATCTAGTTTTGAGCAAGGAATATTTCCCAAACCCGAAAAATTAATTTTATTCGATTATTTTTTTTGCTTATAATGTGATTTGATTGCATTGGTTTCACTATTTTTGGTTGGATTGGTTTAGTTATTTGGCGAGTTGGTTAGCGTGGTTATTTGGAGGGGTTAATCTATTGGTTAGTTGGTTTTTCGGGTTTGGGAAATACTCCTTGCTCAAACTAGATTTGCGTATTTTTTGAAGATAAAGAAAAAAACTACGCCTAGATTCCATCTGCCCAGGGAGGGACTGACAAGTTTTCAAACTCCTGCAGAAAATAAAGTAAGTAACAGACAAAGACCACGAAGAAAAAATAAATAATTAATTTATCACAGGTATAAAAAACTACTCATACACAGTAGTAATTTTAAACAATTATTTTTAATACTTTCCTTCCGCTGTTGTTCTAATTTCCCGCGAAATATCACAAATTTAATCGGTTAATGACAGATCATCGACACGCTCGATTGAAAAGCACACTTTTCAATCAAACGGCTTTCAGTCACGGTCAATAGAAAGAAATAATGATACGTCTTGCCCGTTGCCCGTGTGTTCAACTTTAAATTACCCGCAATTATTGTATCATTCTAACCGGTTAATTGTACGTTTAGGAGAGAATAATAAATGCGAATTTGCACTTGCGCCGGGCGATAAATATAAACTAGGCATTATTTATATGGAAAGATCGCCGATAGGATTTATTGGTATCGGTGTGGTCTGGTGTAGCGATGTTGCGTCGTAAATTGGCGTGGCTTATTTTGACGGATTGGTTTTATTGACAAAATGGTGAATGCGACGGTTAAAATTTCGATTTTGTAGAGCGTTTATACCGAGAGCCAAAAAAATTCTGTTTGTATAATTTATAGAGATTTTTTATGATAAATCTTTAAATATATGTATATGGTATATGTTTATTCTAATGTATTTCTGTAATTATGATGGATTTTCAGTTTTATAATAACAAAACATTAAGTAGTTAAAGTCAAAAATTTTACCTAAAATTTGTCATTAAATGTGGAGGAATTACAATTACGTTATAATGTTTAATTTAAAATAATGGATTAATTAGATAACCACTGTTTGTGTGATAATTGTTTAAGGTCATAAATGTTTCCGAAAGTATTAATTTGAAAAAAGGAAAAACACTTTTCATTCAGCAAATGGCCACGAAATAACAAAGTCGTCAATGCTATAAATAAGGTACTTTTAAAAATCAGTCCCTTTATTAGTGGATTCAAGTCAAATAACCCTAAGCTACTACTAGTACTCTGACTGACAAAATAACTACTAACTTCTAAATATTATCAACACAATAACAAGATAAAATGTCTATAACATTAACTTATTTGATATTTAACAACAGTCCATCCCATTACAGAGGAAAGTATTCATTCCACTAACGAAAAGATCATAAAGTTATAAAAATTATCAACACAATAATAACATAAAATGGTCAATTATCAACAGTCCATCCCATCCCAAAGGAAAATATTCTTTTCACTGTCAAAAGAACCATAAAATTATAAAAATTATCGATACAATAACAATACAAAATGGTCAAATAAATACTGATATTCAACCTTATTAACAGCACCTCCCATTCAATCGTCATAAGTAGAATCAGAACAAAATGTAAACAAGTCAATTCCACGGCCATAAAAGAGGTGCCCTTCTTAAGGCCGATTTGAATAGGGCTTAATCCTAACGACGTAACAAGCTCGTAAAGTCGTAAGTGTCGAGCCAGCGGTTTACGACACCAATAAAAATCCTTCGTTTATTGGAGGTTTTTATAACCCTGATGGTTTGTTTACGTTAAAGGCACGTGCCACATTGATTCACGTAATTTATATTTGCTAAAAAATATTTTTTTTCATTTTTTTAGTGAAAATAAAATATTTGTGATTTTCAAAAAAATGTGTCTCACAGTTTCACGAATTATGTTATATTTTTGAGACAATAATTTTAGTATTTTAATAAAACACGCTTTTAGATGTTTCAAGTTTAATGAGAGTAATTTTGTCTCTACGTATGCTTCGCATTGTTAGGTATTTTTCAGGAATTTTTTAAAATTAACCGTCTAAATACAGTGTAATGGAAAATTAGTCTTTTGGTTCATCTCATTAGCTTTTCCGGAATACAGAACCATCTTGTATGTATGCATTTATATATGTGTGTTTATTTAAATACTAAAGTGAAAGCAATGAATTTAAATGGGTAAACTTTGTAATATATCTTATTGACAATACATTGCAAAAAGTTTTATAAAAATTCGTTCAGAGTAAATGAATTCCGAGGTTTGTATCCCATCCCATAAAAGCTTAAAGCACTCAGTCTAATGTAAATAAATGTATTGCTCAGGCATCTGTAGGGGTTAGTAATGTATGGCTATCGCTTCTTTGATTTTAATGAATATAACATAAGTAAACATAGCATAAGTAAAAATTAAAAACAAATAAAAAATAATCATATACAGAAAGTTTGGGGCTTTTTGGTTTTACCTCATTAAATAATTGTTAATTTCAAAGTTTAACTTGATATACCTAATGTCATTTTCAACGGTTTTCGTAGACGTATCTGTTAAAAAAACTAAAGAGTTATTGAACAGTTGTATTTAGATATCTTAAATAGTTTTTTTCTTTGTTCTTTGTGTTTTTTTTGCTTCCGACGACGGGAAGAGATGTAAACGTTAAGTACTTTTTATCCGTTAGGCAAATTTGTTTTTTAGTAAATCACTGTTGACCAGTTGGTCTCCATTGGATTATTGCAGCAATGTTTACAAAAAAAATAACAATTTTGGCGAAATACCTATAGGACTTTTTTGAAGAGATTATCAAGTGTTCAATTAACATATTCTGAGCTTGTAAAGCCTAGTATTCTCCCCCATTCACCGTTCTATCCTAAAAAAAACTTTCGATAAACCAACCACTTGAACTACCAACAAGTCAGAGAGACACAGACACAGAGAGACAGCGAGTGAAAAAAGACAGGAAACCCTAGAACTTAAGTAGATCTTGACACGCTAGTTTGTTTTTGATTTATACGTTCCAGATAAAAAAGTAACAGCGACAAGGCAAATGAGAAAACTAAGAAGGGGACCAAGCCCATGTCGCTTTTAGGGCCTAAGGAAAAGAGAAAAAGTCGAAGGCTCTTATCTGGAGAGAGATTGGTCTAGATAAGTAATGAAATAGCGAGTGAATATTAATAAGTTTGTGGCTATTTAAAGTAGATTTGTGTAATAGATTTTCATTTAAATTTATCTGATTTTTTTCAGTTCAAAATGGTCGAAAGGAATCATTACCTTCGCTGGCAGAGCAGTCAGAAATAGCTTACAACCTTTGAATAAAAAAATTAAGGAAGGGGCGTATAAGAAACTTAAATTACCTATTTAAATTCCAGTATATCAGTACCGTTCTAATTTTATTCAAAACTTGTAAAAATGTGATGTAGAGTAGACTCATAATAATGTGTTGTTATTTTACGTTGTCAACAAATGTTGGTAGTTATTAAAATTGTAATAAAAACATATAATTCTGATAAAAATAGAAAAGTTATAATAATTATTTATTAACACAAACATCCGATACGTTACTGACGCAGATGAGTCAAGTTGACGTATCTAAATTCTTTGACAAGTAGTAAATGAAAGCAAAAATGCAAGAAAAAATATACAATTAGTTAATTTTAAGTGAATTTCATAAATGATCGGTTTACTACACGTATGTATATTATATAGTCACTAACTAGTAAAAGGTTAATACATTATTACCCTCGATTTTTGACCGAGATCTACCGCATACTACACAACCAACTATTTTACTGTCTTTTTCGATAAATCACAATAGTGTCACTGTTATAATTTATTCCCGAAAAAATAAAAATCGTAAAAAAGATAAAAGAAATAAATTTGTTTATTAAAAAAAAGAAAAATATAACAACAATGTAAGTTACTTAAAAGGAAAAGAATAATAACAAAAAAATATTGAATAAAATTGAATATTGTCTTTAAGGGATTCAAAATTTTGATGCCCACTGATAAACTAATATAAATGAACAGATAAATGTTAACTGATAATAATAACTAATAAATAATTAAATTAAGTGTTTAAATTGTATTTTGGACATACACGGATCTAAATAATAGTGTTAGATAGTACTAGGGCTGACTTGTACTCACCTATTGAGTAAACAAACTCAGCCGCATCCCATCATCGTCACTAGAAATGGGAAAATTAACAGTCAACTAATTCTGGTCTACTTGTTGTGCCGCAGCAGCGGCCGCGGCTGCTGCGGCTTTCTGCGCCTGCGCCTGCTTCTCCTGTTCGTTCAGTTCCTTGATGGCCTGCAATGAAAAAAAAATGAAAATTAATATTGTAAAATAAACTAAGCTATAAAAATATGTTCCCAATTTTTCGGTTTGAAATAATGGTGGAGGCGCCAGGCAATTCGGTATAGGTTGTCATTATTGAAATGTTCCTATTACGGCATAATTGAAGCTCACATTGTTGTTAAAGTTCGTAGTTTTGTTTATATAGAGGGTGGTCCGAACTGGTATTCCGTAAACTTTGGCAGCATATTCTGCAGATAAAAATAAGTAAAAAAGTTCGTATAAATAAGGTATGTTCTAAAATAGAATCCGAAAATTTTCGGATACGCAAAAATGTCTCTTGATAAAAATCAGCAACTGTTTTCAACATCTTTAGAATGGAAATAGTCAATACAGGTCATTATTGATAAAAAATAAACATGTTGAGTAGATAGTTATTTGACTGAAATGAAAAATTTGAGAACTTTTAATTTTTTTAAATTAATCATAAATTTTTCTTCGAAAAAATGACGATAAAACAGTTTCTGTTGAACTTTTGGTACAAAACATTTCAAATTTATGATTGATTTCAGTCTAATAACTATTTTGTCAACATGTTTAATTTATGTCAATGATGACAGGTATTGGTAATTTCGATTCCAAATATCTCGAGAACCATTACCCGTAGAGATTTTTACTAAGAGACATTTTTTGCGTAGAAAATGTCGCAAATGTGTATTTTTTGCTCAGTAGTTTTATACAGGTACTGACGAAAAGTTATTACACTTCAAACCAGTTAAAAAATATGTTGGTGGCGTCCTCTACAAGTAGGAGTAATATTGACATCAAAATCAAATTTCTCATATCAAAAAACTCACAGGCACCAATTTTCATCCATATATTGATGTTACTTCAGAAATTATTTGAAAAAAATCGAAATTAAAATGAAATTTCTACACTCTGTATCTCCGAAACTAAGCATTTTATGAGATACGTTTATACGAATGTTTTACTTATTTTTATCTGCAGAATATGCTGCCGAAGTTTCCGGAATACGGTTTGGACCACCATGTATAATAGATAAAAACTGGATTTATTAAGGGACTAGGAACTTGAGAAGCCTTGTCTTCGCTAAAGTGGTTTCGCTAAAGATATCACTCTAACTATATCAAACAAAACAGAAGGGAAAGGACACAATTGAAACCTTCCAAAATGTTTATCTGTATTACAGTTGGGGGTTGGAATTTACTAATTCATTAAAATACACCAAAACACTTTACTTTTACACTGAAAGCGCGTTTCACTAACCATGTTAGCATCATGAGCAGATGACTAAAACTAAGTAAAGTTTTGGTGTATCGTGGTAAATTATTGTTTTATTTTACACTGTATAGTAAAAGTTCCTTATTTACACCATAAATCTGAAATTCCCCCAATTATTTCCCGAAAACCGTGGCCATGACCGATAGAACCGACCCCATAAACCATCGAAAAACACACAAACAAACAATGATAGCGGTCGTTTACCTGTATCTCCTTTTTCAGCTTCATTCGCCTATTCTGGAACCATATTTTTATCTGCCTCTCTGTCAGGCACAGCGCGTGCGCCATCTCTATCCTTCTCCGCCTGGTCAGGTAGTGGTTCGTGTGGAACTCCTTCTCGAGCTCGAGGGTCTGGTACCTGGTGTACGTCTGCCGGCCACGCCTTCGCAGACCGTTCGCTCCTGAAACAGATAGAAGACACCATCATTGATGTTAGATGAAGAAAAGATCTTAGAAACCAAATTTAACTTCCCGTTACTCGCTTGGCGTATTTTAATACTCATCACAGAAAAAAGAATGTCTTGGATTCAGGGTTCAAAAGAATCATGATTTTTTTCCATTAAAAATAAAAAAGTTATGTTGTTAAAATTGCCTTATATCTATCAAAAATAGTAGATAAAATAGTACTTTAATCGCAAGGGTAGATTAAATGATAGTTTAACAGCGAGGATAGGTTAAAAACTTAATTTCTTCTCGTACTTTTTTTAATTGCTTCCATTTTTGAAAATTTTTGTATTCCTTTTCATAAGTTATTCGGGAATAATTCGATATGAAAATAAATTATATTAAGCGCCTATTAATAACCTTATTAAGCGCCTATTAAAAATTTTATTAAGCGCTCAGAGCTTGACCTCGCAAAAATTATCATCGATTATTATTCCTCAGCCTTCTTTGACGCCGTTTTTTTTTCGATAATATGGGACTTGAATTCAAAATATTAGAAGTAACGTACCTACAAAGTAAGAACACTGATAAAAAAGATAGACCTGAACTAAAGTCGTCATCGTTCTTGAAAAAAAAATTAGTAGCATGAGAATTTATTTTAGCGTAAAAGAAAATATTTTGCCTGAAGAAAAACTCTCTTAACTCAAGAAAACTGGTTCTCTTGAAAAATTCGAAAATTTCTCTTGAATCTCTTTTCATTCAACCAAGTGCAAGTTACTTTGTTTTAAGATAATAAGAAAAATACGCTAGAAAGTACTTCATTCAAGAAACATGGCCATTTTTCTAATAGCTAAATACTCTTTTGATGAAAAGTAATAACGACATGCAAAGACGATGACGAAGGACGGTATATACAATCAGTCGGCATGGCATGGCAGTCCGATCAGTCGTACGTCGCATTTCATAGGTCGCACATCATAGTACGCACCGGTTTTGTTGCTTGGAATTTTGCATAATTTGCTTTTTAAACGCATATCGTATAACAAATTAGTGATCGTTATTACCATGCATTTGTCATATTTATGGACAAATTTTAGGATATATGGATTGTTTAAAGGAGTTTCTGAAAAAATGGAAATTAGAGCATTTATTTGGTATATTTGAAGGTGAGACATTTACCTAATGCACCTGTTTAGATAATGCATGCGTGACTATAGATAGAATAAGAATATAGGTATCGATTTTTTTATGCAAATAATTACAAAAAATTTAGCATTTAAAGTTGTCGTATTAAAAAATTCAAAATGTGACCAAACTTTATAATTTTAATAATTTATTTGCTTTACTTTGATTAATTAATTATTAATTTAATCATGACTAATTATTAATTTAATCGCGATTAATCGTGATGTAACATTTTTTTTGTAATTTGTAGAGTGATGAACCACCCCAAAAAATACCAAGGAGTGAAGAAGCAGAAATAACTACTATCGAGGAAAATAATATCACCTTTACTTACTACAGACCAGGAAAACCTAAATTTATCAGAAAATAATATACCTCGTAATATGCCTGTATATGCCTGTATATTATGATATATAGACTTCTCTTAGATCAAAATAAATTTTAGTTGAGTCAATAGTATTCGCTATTGGCTTAAGAAAAGTGTCTCTTTAATCAAGAAATGTCCCTTTTCAATCAAGAATTTTTACATGAATCAAAGAAACTATTGTTCTTGTAGCAAGAACTTCTTTGCATATTAATTTTGGGTCAAGAGTGAAATACTTTGGACAGATAGATTCTTCTATTCCCTAAAGTGATTTTTTAAAGCTTATGAAAAGATAGTTAATGCTTTAGGGCAAAGAAATATCGTTCTTGGCCCTATTGAAAAGCGCCAATCTTTTGGGTCAAAGTCATATTCATTTTGACTGAGAGATCCTTTTTTTCAGTGAAGTAATTATACTAATCAACATATTTTTGTAAATTTAACAGTTTTTCATATCTCAATGAACAAATGTGAGTTAAAATCGGTGACATAATTTATCTAAAGTTAATAACACGTTCATACACGGCTCGTTCGTTTCGTTCCGATCGTGTTTTATCATATCGAGAAACTTTCCCGGTGCAGTTTAGCCGTTTAAATTATACCTCCCATAACTACAGACGTGTCAGAGATTAAGTGGGTGTATCGTAACACGTACAAAAATAATAATTAGGCAGATGGAATCGCTTTTAAATAGTCGCGTTTTTTATTCGCCATTGTTTATTATCCGACCAGTGGCGTGCCTACACTTATTTAGAATTATTACTACGTTCACCGGCAGGAAAAACAATCACCTTAAAATTTGATGTATTTTTAAAGTTTAATATATTTTATTCTAGTGAGCCGATTCGATGATTTTTTAAGCAATTTGTAGCTAAATTATTTGGCTTTTTAGTACCTCTTTCGAAATTAAATTATTCCTCTGTATAAAGGAGGTGATAACGATGAAGCTTCGAACTATCGCCCAATTGCACTCCTGCCCACATTATCTAAGATCATTGAAAGATTGGTTAAAAAAAGGTTTCTATCTTTTCTCCTTAAATATAAAATACTTACTACCCATCAATTTGGATTTCTAAGTAACATGTTCAACTATGTTCGACCTTTTTAATAATGTATACTCTAGCCTGAATAACTCTACAGCTACAATTTTCTGCGATTTCTCTAAGGCTTTCGATTGTGTAAATCATAATATCTTAATTAACAAATTGCAATACTATGGTTTTAGGGGAGTGCCGCTCGAATGGCTTAAGTCATATATTGGCAACAGAAGGCAGCTTGTAAGGATTGATACGTCTATGTCTTCTTGTAAGCCTATAGAATGTGGTGTCCCTCAGGGTTCAGTACTTGGCCCTATTTTGTTGCTGGTGTTTATCAACGACATTGCAAATCTAGACATTAGCGGTAAAATCTGCCTCTTTGCGGACGATACTAGTTTCCCTTGGAGCGGCCCAGATGTTACGACACTATATGATACTATATCCTGTGACTTACGCACCATTAAATCTTCGTGCGATTCTAATCTCCTATGCCTCAACCTATCAAAAACTAAAGTTTTGTCATATAAAAGTACTATACAACCTTTTGTACTTAATAACACCACTATTGACGTCGTGGACTCTGTGAAATTCTTAGGACTTGTTGTAGACAACTCGTTAAAATCGGACTTTCACATCGAAGCTCTATCAAAGAAACTAAGCGCTGCCTGTTTTGCGCTAAGATCAGTTTCTAAGGAACTTAACTTCTCAACCTCTAGAATAGCCTACTATGCCCTTTTTGAGTCACATTTTCGTTATGCCCTTCCATTCTGGGGTACTTGCTGCGCAACAAAATTTGATTGTATTTTCAGACTTCAAAAGAGAGCAGTTCGTTATTTATTGGGACTGAACAGTAGAAATCACTGCCAGAATTTCTTTAAATTTTCAAAATACTGACTCTTCCTTCTTTATTCATTTTGAATCCGTTTGCTTAATCCGCAAGCACATATCTGCTATTCCCGAAAGGCCATCTCATAACTATCCACTTAGGAATGCAGAGCACGATCTTTATCTGCCAACCCCGAGCTCAGAACTAGTTAAAGGTTCAATACTGTACAATGCCAAAAAAATGTACAATCATCTGCCTTTGAATATCAAGTCGCTTTCATTCTTTCCCGCATTTCGCAAAACTCTAAAATCATACCTACTGGAGAGAGCCCTATATGCGGTAAAGTACTTTTTTGTTGATGTTTAATTATGAACAATTTTGAATTTTAAAATTTTGATCATCTCACACACTGGTCAAAGGTCAAGTATTTAATATTTTATAACTCTAAAAGTATATCTATTTACTGCGTACTGTTCTAAAATTGTCCATGTATATTCTTTCTGTAATTTTAAAGACTTAAATTTTTTTGAATTGTATTATTTGTATTGTGTATTTTTTGTTGTTTGTATTTTTTGCGATTTTGTTGTTTGTGAGTGCTTTGTCGATGAAGCTGTTTCGGCTTTTTGTACAATAAAGCGTTGTTTGTTTGTTTGTTTGTTTGTAAAAATGAAAGTTTCCATCTGTCAATAATACGAGGGAAAACAAAATTTTGATATTTGACTGAAAGTTTGAAATCTTTTCTCGATAGTTTATTTTTTGGTTCATCTCAATAGCTTTATTTTTCTTGGAGATATTCGCTTTTGAAGAAGACACTAACATTTTTCGTAATTTTTTATATTAAAACCATGTCTTGTGGGTGTAATATTAATACGATATTTTAGAGACTTGCCATAATTCACTCTGTTTAGATGAGACACTTTGAATGAACACAAGTTCTTACACTAAATTCTTTAAACAAGTTGATTGTTGTGATGTAAATCCATGATTAAAATAAAAAAAATCCCTTGATTTAAATCACGATTTAAATATTGATTTAAATCATTGCACCCTGGTTTGTAAGAACTTTTGCTTCAAATATGCGCACTATGGTGTCCGTTATTTACAAATTTACAGTCCGTTATTTACAAATAATAGACTAAATTTTTCAAAAATAATCATAATTTTGTCAAAAAAAGTTGAAAAACTTAGGAATTTACAGCGTGGTTAACTTTAACCGTGAATAACTTTGGAAGGAGTAGGTTTATCGAAAAATTGCGAGAGACCTTTTTTGTAGAGCGTTCAATTTTGTATATTGCGAATGTGTAATTGTTATGGCTACGAGAGAACAAGATCGAGAGAAAAAAAAATATTTGCAAAACGTGGCAAATTACCATGTAATTTAAATAGGAAATAAATTATCTTTGGGACAAGGTTTATTGTGAATATTAAGGATTTACAATGGCCTCTTATTTTTTTATAGAGGGCGTCGTGAGAGAAATGATGAACTTTGTAAATAACGGACACCCTAATGCGCACATAGTGCACACAGCGTATTTTTTTATTCAAGATATCTCCAAAATGAGACGCCTCTGTGCAATTGGGATCGATACGAAAATTCTTGTTAATTGT